GTCCCTGTGCTTTGCTAAGCTTGTTCTAAGTAGGTGCTTTAGACCACTGAGCCATCTCACCAGCCCCTGGGTACTACTCTTAATGCATTTTATTTTAATCAGGTTTTCTGCCTGTGTCACAGCTGCATGTGCTGTAAGTTGCAAAGCCAGGAGTGACCTTGTAAATCATATCCTTTATACTGAGCTCCTGCACTGGGACAGAGTGGAAATGTGTCTGTCCCCTCCTCTCTTTTTTTGGTAATTTTTAGGAGTGTGTCTACAGGGTCTATAGGATCTCACTATGTAGACTGGACTTGTAGTGATCCGCCTGTGTTCAGCCTTCCAAGAACTGGGCCCACCACCACTCCCAGTCTCAATTGCTGTCTCTGTGTGCCCTGGGGGCGGGGCTGGCACAGCAGGCTCTGGGGGTCAAACCTGGCTGCTGCATCTGCCTGAGCAGGCTCTTTAATCCACTGAGCTATTTGGCCGGCCCTTGTCCCTTCTGTGGAAAGTTTTTGGCCTACCACTGTAAGATAGTAACAGCTAGTTTTTGTTCCACTCATAGCTTTTTAAAGCCATTGCTTTCTTTTCTGACTTGAAAAACGTCACTTTTATTCACATAGCTTCTTTCCAAGATGGTTTTGTGTCTGAGTATTGTCGTGCAAGTTTTCTGTTCTTGCCTCCTTTGCTTGATTGTTGACTTTGTCATTCTTCGTTACATAATCTTTACTACTCAGCTTTCTCCCCATGGCGTTTATACTAAAGTTGTTCCATGAAGCACACCTCACCAGGCTTGAGGGCATGAAAGGAGAAAGCTACCAAGCCCCTGTGGCCCAGCATAAAACGAGGGGTACAAAGGCGATCCGGAAATGAGGAGGAAAAAGAGTGTGAACCTGGGTTGCTGCTAATTCATGGGTGATTTTCTGGTCTGTGTGGTGCTTTTCCTGCATCTTGTTCCCGGTCGTGCTTCGCCAGCGGCATTGTCTCTTAGTCCTTAGGTGGAATTACCTGAATCCTGTCTTTTAAGAGTTCTATTTGCCCCTAAAGACCACAGAGCATCTCTATGCCATTAACCCATTCTCAGAATCAGAGACTGCTCTACTGCCTAAGTAAAGCAGATAGGATTGTCAAAGAGCCCAGTTATGTTGACCATCCATTCTGTGTAGGCTCGCAATAAGAACTCCCGACGCTTCATCAGAAAAGTTAGGATTTGTTCAAGGTTGGGGCTGAGTGACCCGCCAGCCTCCCACAGTGTCACCTCACCTGCACAATACTTTTTCCTAAGATGCTGAGTGCAATGTGCAAATTTCAGTTTTTTCTACATCTTTCTAGACTTCAATTGGATAAAAATTAAGAAGTGATTTTTAAAAACCTGGTTTAGCTCTACCCCTCCTTCTCTCTCTTCCTCTTTCTCTCTCCCTCCCCTTTTCTCCCTTTCACCAGTGTCTTGATTACAGACTGTTGTTAAATGAAAAATTAAGATCCTTGCCCTTCAGTCTTTATCCTCCAGTGCCAAAGTGATTTTAGGAAAAGACAACTCTGTATGGTCAGAGAAGTAAAGCCCCGATTCTGGCCTGGTCGCAGGCCTGGAGCCAGCCGCTGTCCTACTCAGTCTGCGTGCTCACATCAGCAGCCGCACGTCAGCCAGGCCCTCCTGTTTGCAGACCCCTATTTTATCACTGGCTTCGGTCTTGCCTGAATTGTAGTGAAACCGGAGTTTTGATTGGACCAGGGCTGCCTGGCATGTGGTGCTGGGGGATTGAACCGTGGTCCCTGTGCTTTGCTAAGCTTGTTCTAAGTAGGTGCTTTAGACCACTGAGCCATCACTAACAGTAGGTTTAATGGCTTCTCTAGAGATTGGGATTTCTACCTCTCAGCAACTGCCTTTGGTTCCTGCTGCTGCCTGTTGAATTTCTGGTGAATTAGTGTTAGGGTGAGTAGCTGAAGGTTGCCTGATGGTTCTGGCGACTGGCTGCCTTCTGGCCACTGAGTTCCACACGGTGGGTGGTGTTTTGGTTCACGAACTTAATTCGGCCCACAGTTCTGGGGAAGTGGCTGTGGTACTGTTTGGCAACCGACATGGAGTTCTCAAAGGGCTGCACAATTTTGCCCAGTGCTTCTGTTGGTGACCAGAGGTATCACTAGATCAAAAGCTCTGTCTGGGTCCTCCCAGGTGCCTTGGTTTTCACTCTGTGACAGCTCTCCTGCTTTCTGGCGGGTAGGCATGTATGCTCACTACTGATGTGTGCTGATAGGAGACTATTTAGGGGAGTGATTCCCAAAGGTTGGTCCACAGAGCAGCAGTCGTGAGCTAGCTTAAAGTTGAAGCCCTGGGCCCACAGGACCCTGACCCTGGAAACAGAGCCCAGGAAAACTATTTTAACAAGCTGCTCTGGCATCTGTTAGGAATAGTGAGGCTTAAGCCCTGTAGGCTAAGCACAGGGATTGCAGACTGCCTGAAAAGGACCAGCTACAGCCTGGCAGATCATACAGCCTCTGTCGTAGCTGCTCAGCCCTGCAGTTGTCAGAGAGGCTGTCATGGTGCTCTGTGGACAGTGAGTGTGGCCATGGTCCAGTGAGATGTCACAGTACTTACTCAGCAGCAGCGGGCCGTGCTCAGGGGACCTGGCTGAACCTTGAAAGCAATTTAAGGCGTGAGAATATTCTATCACATGATGAATAAGTATTATTGTGTGTACGCATTAATGCTGCCTGAGTTGTATACAGTTGTATTCTATTAACTTGCCACGGGGATTTTTTAAAGATTAATATATAGTAAACTGATCACATGTGTTTGGGATGTCCTGGTGGATTTATTTTCAGAGAATTCTTGAAATAAGGCCTCAGGTTTTCCTTATTTTGTCCTGGGAATAAAAGGCGTTCAGATTAGGAAGAGTTAACGTGCTTGATCCTGTGTGTGAGTTGGCTTTGTCCTGAGAGGATGTTGTATAGTCTGCCTCTCTGTGTGGAAAAACAAACGCTGCAGGTTTCCATTGTGCTCCTCTGGTTTCGAGCTGGAGCTTTCTTTCCCAGGCTGGGAGGCTGGCGTCCCCTGAGGGGCTGACTTCATCCCAGAGAGCCTGGGCTGACCTGGCTTGTGTTCTGACCTGCGTGGCGGAGGCTGGGAAGCAAAGTGTGCCTTCTGTGTGGGTGAATGTGTGGCCGGGCAGATCCTCAAGAGTCGCTGGGGACTTGGCCCCGAAGCCCTGTCACCTGTTCATATGCACTATTGAAATGTAGCTACTCAATTAAAACTAAAGTGGAGAAAGCCTGACCGAAGGCTTCCAAGAAAAATACCTACTTCCATCACGCAGTTGCTTTTAAACATTCTCATTTTTCCACAGAATACAGTGGACTCTGTCTCACCCTCACCTATCGCCTTCTCCCCTACCTTTTCATTTTGGTGGATTGTTGAACCCAAGAACCCACAGTCTTCACACTAAGCCACAGCCCCATCCCT